AAAAAAAAAAAAAAATTGAAAGACCCAGGAATGAAATTAATAAAAGGTATGAGCAAGGTCACATTATCCTGGACAGGGAGACTCCCTAAAGGCTTACAAACTGTCCACTCACTACTTAGAGAATGAGGCTGGGATCCCCCTCAGGAGATTGACCCTGCACCTCTGAACCATCCGTAAACTACAGATCAGAGCTTAGCCAGCATGTGACCCAAGAGGAAATCATGGTTTTTCTCCCCAGTGGCACTCTGAATCCAATCAAAGTGTACAATTCCCTGATAAAATGTCAAGCAGAGAAAAACTTATTCTCTAAGAAAGAAATTCCAATAAACTCTTTTATTTTATTTATCTTTTTTTTTCTACCCAGTACACACACTCACCAGAGAGAGAGGGAGGAAGAAGGGAGAAAGAGAGAGAGAGAGAGAGAGAGAGAGAGAGAGAGAGAAGAGAGAGAAAAGAAAGAGAGAAAGAAAGAAAGAAAGAAAGAAAGAAAGAAAGAAAGAAAGAAAGAAAGAAAGAAAGAAAGAAAGAAAGAAAGAAAGAAAAAGAAAAAGAGGAAGAGGAAGAGGAAGAGGAAGAGAAAAAGTAAGCCACCAGGTCTGGGACTCAAACCACGGTTGTCCATGTCGGAGTCCAGGTGTCTTCACCACACCAACTGCTGGCCCCCTAAGAAACTCTTAAAAAGCTTTTGGCAGAGAAATTGACTAACTGTATGTGTGGAAATGAATGACTACATAGGCCTTTTACATTATTATTAGTGAACAGAATGAAAAGAAAAATGTTTTATAATGTATTTACATTATTAAGAAATTATTGGGGCCAGTCAATGATGTGGAAGTTAAGCCAGCTGGATCCCACGTGACCAATTGTGTGGTTTACGTCCCAGACCCAGCAGCTTAAAAAACACACTGGGCACATGTGGGTGCAGTACTCAAAATCCCTGAGAGGAGAATGGAAGGAAAAGAATTGTTGTGTGGTCATCCTTTGGGGAGTGATTTATCACTTTCTCTCTCTAGGAGCTTACATGCAAAAAGAGAAAAAGAGAAAAAAAGGAAGGAAGGAAGGAAGGAAGGAAGGAAGGAAGGAAGGAAGGAAGGGAGGAAAAGAGAGGGAGGGAGGGAGGGAGGGAGGACGGGAGAAAGAAAGAAATTCTCAACTAATATAGTCTTCAGTGTTTCTAGATTTATGATCACTTGACTATGGTTCAGTTTCAGGACTGCCTTTTCACTTTCTAGACAAAAGTAACTTCTGAAGAAAATTAATAATGTAAACAAATGGTTTGAAGTACCACAGAAGCATCTGTTTACATTCAGATAATTAATATGCTAAGTATTCTTATCTATTAAATTAAAGCAGGTCACCTAAGGACTTTTCTAGATAATACTTCATTAGCCTAATAATAATGAGTATCTACAGTTGAAGTAATAAAATGGACATCTGTTTTAAAACATCCTTCAATTAAGCCTTTTACTATATCAAACCAGCTTTTATATCTAATTTCAATTATTGCGGTTTGTTTGTTTTTAAAATTTATATGAATTTATTTCCTCCATGAGCAAGAGAGAGAGAGCACCCCCAACAGGGTGCTCACTTGCCTATCTACTTCGAGCTCCTAACAAGTTCTAGATCAGGGCCAAACATATGCCCAGAGTACTCAGGGAGGTCTCTGGTTTTTCTTTCTTTTTGTTTTTTGTTTGTTTGTTTGTTTGTTTTGAGAGGTTTTTGCTATAGGGCGCGTGCGCTCTCCAGACAGAGAGAGACAGAGAGACAGAAAGTGAGAAATCACCCCCTAAAGGGAATGGTCATGCCGCAATCCCTTCTCCTCCATTTTCCTCTTGCAGTTTTGAGCACATATGCACCATGCCATGTGTGTTTCTCAAGCTGCCAGGTCCAGGACTCAAACTGCAGTCAACCACGTGGGATCCAGCACCTTAACCTCCACTCTGCCTGCTGGTCCCAGTAGTAAGTTTTAATATCTTATAGGGCAAGTCTTCATGCTGCATTCTTTCTTTCTCCAAACTGACTCAGCAATTCATAGACTTCAAAGCACCCATATACTTTTTTTTAAAAAGAATTATTTATTTAATTTTTTATTTATTCATTCACATATTTTAATTTGACCAGAGAGAGACATAGAGAGAGGGAGAGAGAGAAAGCAAGAAAGCAAGCCACCAG